GCACGGGGTGTGTGTGTGTGACCAGGGATTGAACTGAGCTATCATCCCGGACCCACTTGTTAACATCTGAGTAGTCCTCTCCTTGGTGTTTGGGTTAGGTCCAAAATTTTGCATCATGACTTTCAGACCCCTCCCATAGCCACCCTACTCTCCATGAAAACAAATAACTCACTCATCTCTGCAGATCTGGCCCCTGGGCCCTGCGGTCACAAGGAGGACACCAGAATCTTAGAGTGGGAAGGAATTTCTACACTCATCTACAACAACCTTTTGCAAAATCCCTTGCTCAGCATGCCTGGCAGATAAGTGCCTGGATCCTGTGAAATGCCTCCAGTGGTGGAAAGCTCACTACCTCCCAGGTAGCCATTCAAGCTACTAGACTACCTTTACACAGGGCATGAATGAGAGCACGTGCTCCTCCCCTCGGTGCCACCTCTCTCACTCTCACCTCTTTCCCCATCCCTCACAACTCTGTCCAGCTGCACATCATGATGGGCACAAGCCTCCTCACTTATGGGTGGCTCCCCTTTCTCCCTCTTTTCTTCCTTCCTTTCCCAACTCCTGGCAAAACCCCAGAGGCTGGGAACCAGAGAGAAAAGCTGGGGGAGTGCCGTGGACAGGAGGCGTCCAGCCCGGGTCTGGGCCGGGCTGAGGTGGCCAGTGAAGCCCGGCTGCACAGGGAATCACATCTGGAAGTCCCAGGCCATTGTTTGCTAAGTGCAGAGAAAGGACCTTGAGCCTGGTGGGTGGGCAGCAAGATTCTGTGCTCTCTCTTCCCTCAGAGGGGACAAGAACCCATTCCTGCTGCTTCCCACCTTCCCTGGCTGAGGAGACTTGGCTGCTTCTCACACGTGGTGATGTTAAGCATTTGCCAGCCTCCAGGTGCTGGGAGTCTTACCGGCAGCAAGAATCTGCTGTTCACTCCCCTCATGGGGAGGGGGGAAGTGTTCCAGCACAGCAGGGACTACAAGAGATGTGGGAGGAAGTGGTGGGCTATCAGAGCAGGGCAAGGCTTCCATGGAGCAGAGACAAGAGCAGAAGCCACCTGAATGGCCGCTGAGACCATTTTTCCTCCCCATTTTACAGTATTCTTCCACCCTGGGCAGAAGGCTGTGTGGATGCACGAACTTAACTAGCCCAAGGCCGTAGTGGGTCATGGGTGGCAACAAGGGTGTTGTGGTCTTACGTTCAGAAGGAATTGAGACACAGAGGGAAATGACTGAGTGCCTGCCAGCTACTTGTCCTGCGGTTTAGAGCTCTCACTTCCGACATTGAACATGGGGACCAAGAGGCCCAGCAGCCATCTCTTCCCGAAGACCTCCTGTAAGTTCTTGCGCCAAGGCTGGGCCCTCACTGCCACCCCTTTTCGAACCTGGTGGCGTGTCTGCCCCCTGAGGATCAACAGCAGCTGGTGGCAGCAGAAGCCCGCGCAGGCCAGGCCGACGGCAAACCAGAGGTAGAGCATGAGGATGACGAACATTTCAGAACCGAGGACAGCTCCTGCGGGGGGAGGGGAAACACCAGAACCTCTTTACACTCAGGCCACGTACGGAAACGCGATCTGGCTGGCGCTTTCCGCTGGGAGGGAGGGAGATTAATGAGGCTGAAGCTGCATTTTGTAGCAATCTCAGCGCTGCAGCGAGGGAGGGGAAGGATAAACTAGGGGCCCTAAGTTTTCCTTAGTGCTGATGGCTCCTGAGGCGAGAAAGGAGAACAGGGAGAAGGAAGGAAGCTTGCCCGCAGCTTCTCCAGCTCGTCTCGACACTGTTCCCATTTCCGTACAGGCAGAACTGCCTCGCCGCTTCTCTCTTGGCTGGAAGAGGGAGAAGGGGGTTTACACGAGAGGAGTGAGAGGTGATTCGAGAGCCCTAAATGGGCAACCGGCTCACTGTCAGACTGCAGCGCCTTCTCCCTGCGGGTCTGGGAACACTGTCTAGGACAACTCTGGAGAGTGACAGCATGATGGAGAACAGGACCTAGTCATTGAGAAGAGCAAGTCACGAGCTCATCAGCCTCAAGGGCAGTACAGTGCACTGACTTAGAAAAAGAATCAGTCATGAACATTAGCAAGAGGGCAGTGTGGCACAGAACATCCAGCCAGGGCTGTCCTGTTGGCCAGAGCTTGCTGAGCCTGGAAGAGGCCCCTGAGGTGCCCAGGTCAGCCCTGATGGTGGTGTAGTGTCTTCCCCTACGGTTATCTAAATTGAACCCTTGTTGCTGTTGATTTCAGTAAGCGATCCTATACACTGCGCAGAGTTGGGGAGCAGGATCTGTCCATGCTACCTTAGAATCCCCTGGCTGTGTGGACTTAGAAAAAGTCCTTAACCTCCCTGTGTTGCATCTTGATCATCTGCCAAATGGGTGTAATAATGAAAATTCCACCTGGCAAGCACAAGGGCCTGACTTCAATCCCTGGTTCTGAAAAAAAAAATTCCACAGAGGTGCAAGATACAAGAAAATGGTCTAAGAAGTAGTTACCTTCCTGGTTTGCACTTGGGGCAGCCTTCTTGCTGAAAGTCATTCCAAAAAAGGGGACTATATCTAAAGAGTGCCCACACGTAACTCCTAAGGCCCTCAAGATTTCTCTTCTTTTCCAGAACTTGGAGTCCTGGCTGGGTTGCAGCTTTGGCAGCTATAGTAAAGACCTACCTTCACTTGCACAGTGGCCAGCGCAGTGGACCCAGGGCAGAGCTCAAAAAGCCTAGCTCTTTGCTCCCTGTAGGGCAACCCCATCACCACCTTCTCCAGGGAGGATTTGGGCAGCTGCTCCAGGACACTACCTCACAACCTTGAAAATTCTGACCATCTTTCTCCCTTCCCTGCCCAACCCTTTGCCCCAGCCCATCTCTTCTCTGGTCTCCTCAGATTCCAATTTCCAGGCCACTGAAATGCTTTTTAGCACCTGTCTGGTGGGCTCAGCAGTCGGGAAGGATGGGATCTGAGTCAGGTTTGCTATTAGCAGCTCCTCTTCCCTCATCCCTAGGAGCTTTGATAGTAGGGTTTTCTTTGCAGAGTTGGGAACAAACAGGTCTAGCTGCCCAGGAAATAGAAAGCTTGCTTCATCTGGCATTTAGAGCAGCTCCTCCATGGACAGAGGCAGCAGGGGGACAGGGCTAACATTGGGCTGTGCTATCCTCTGACCCATTTCTTCCTTGTCAGCACAGATTAGCTTAGGCAGCCACATACAGGAAGGAGGATCCTGGGGCCATGTGCCCTTCGGGCTTGTGGAAGGCTGATGGGCAAAGTGGCACTGGAACTGGGAGGTGTGAACATCAGAGCTGTCCAGCTCAGGCCTGTTCTGCAGTGCAGCCCAGGATCAAGCCCAGGCAGATGGAAGCTTCTTTCAATGGGCTTTTTGGGGGGCATTAAATCAAGGCATGAAGAAAAGACCTTGTGGCCTTTTCCTGGCCCAGTGAAGCAGCTACAAAAGGCTATTCTGGGGACCTGCTTTCTTTCAAAGTGATTGAAGTTACCTAGCACAGCTGCTTCAGGTCCTCTTAACTATTTAATAATAGTTTTTCTTCTTCTTTTTTTAAACATAGAATTTTCCTGTAGGGCCTGAAAGAGCACATCATCTGATCTCCCTTGGTCCCTGCCTCTCACTCATGTTCGTATCATTTTTGACAGATCATCACCCAGCATCTTTCATACATCCAAGGACAAGAAACTGCCCTACTCAAAGTAGCTTGTTCACCATAAAAGCATATCGGAGAGGCAGTGTTGTGCAGGGGAAAGCCTCCGAGCTTTGGAGGCAGCAGCCCAAGTCTCGAGCTGTGTGGCTTTGAGACACCTTAACTTGGCTGAACCTTTGGTTCCTGAGCTTTAAAAAAATGGTAATGCCTACTTCACAGGCTTGTCATGAGGAGGGGATGGAATGAGACATGCCCCGCGGGAGGTGCATGACAGCTTCTCTCTCCCTCCAACTGGACTTTCCAGGGCACCTACCAAATGTGAGGACACATGTCAAATGGTGTCATCTCCACTCTCCAGATGAGAATAAGTTCAGCTGGTGACACAACCTGTCCTGATCCACGAAGCCAAAAGAAAGGGTAACTTCTAAAACCTGCCTAAAACCAATCTCCTTGCCATTTGCTGAAGGCTTAGGGCCAGCAACCACCTTCATATGAAAGACCCCTCTCACCTTTAGTTGTCAGAGACCCATTCACAGCCACCCTTGCTCTGATGGCAGGTCTGACTCAGGATCAGGGCACAGCTGTGGGCAGTGCAAGTGCTATTAAGTAACTTGTACCTTCTTGATCCTACCTGTCTTCTGAGTGGGAGAGGGTGTGCTCTCAGCAGTTAGGACTGGCAATCAGGGAAGAGGAGTTGGAAAAGAGGAAGCTGAATAGAGCAGTATATGTAGGGGAGAGGTTTGGAGGACAGAGTGTTGGGGCAGGAGGGATGTGACCTCAGTAAAGAAGGGGGATGGGATGGGAGTGCTGAGGGTAAGACATCTTGGCTTCCTTTTCCTACTGGGCATGGGAGCAGATGAAGTCAAGAGGGATTCATCCTTCCCTAGAGCAGGGTTCTGGGCTGTAGGGTGGGCCCTGACTGACTCTCTTCTGCCATCAAAGCAAAGCAAGAGATGCTTTCTTTCTTTCCTAGCTCCCAAACCCAGCACATATGGATAGGCCTCAAGCCCAGACTTATCTCAAATCAAACCATTTCAAGATCCTCTTTCTGGAACTACCCATTTTTATGGCTGGTGAAAATACTTGGAAAAGGATGTGTGATTAGGTTCTTTGGCTCTCTTCATCCTTCCACCTGCCCGTGCTCACACTCCACCCCCAGCCCGCCCACCTACCCTCCCCCAGCCTGGGTATTTTGGTCCTGGCAGCCTCCTATGCCAGCATGGAGATCCAGAAGGCCTAAAGTTCTGGGTTCTGGGCTCAGCTCAGCCACCAGCTCTCCAGACATCTCCTGTGGCTGGGGCCTCCCTGTTCCTGCAGCCAAATGGCACAACAATTCTGTGCCTAGGAAGAACTGGGCTGCAGCCACAACAGAGACTGAAAGGATGATTTCTCCCAGAGTGGAACAAAAGTTTATGAATGCGCAGCCCAGGGAAGTTCTGGTACATTAGGATACCTTGGGCCCAGGGAAGTAGCTGTACCCTGCCTTTCGAGGTTCCTGGATGGTCAACGTGTTCAGGAGCATGTCCCACACCCGATGTTGTTGAGGAAGATGCTAGGCTGTAGCTTATGGATCTGGGGACATGCCAGAGGAGACACTGGGAAGGCCACTGGGTTCTTCATCTGAGAAATGGTGCACTAGTGCCACACACACACATGCACACACAGTTGTATGCACATGGCCAGTTGTGCAACCCAGCTGATCAGAGTCAGTGGCCAGGGTGGGAGAGAGTGGAAGGAAACAAAGTAGGGGCAAATTTCAAAGCCAAGTACAACGATAAGAACTGCCACGAGGAGCCGAGTCCCCAGGGCCAAATATCAGAGCACATTCCTTGAGGTGCCCTATTCTAAATCTAGTCCCCATCAGGGTACCCAGCTGAGCACCAGTGTGAAGACCCACCTACCTGATCCGACAGGTGTCAGGGTATTTCAGAGGATTATCTCCTAGCCCAGGCATAAACTCTGCATTGTAGACATGTAGTCATAAAACACCCTGGTCTCCCACTGGATGCCCCTGCTCTGAGTCACCTACAAGCTGCAGAACAGCATGATGAGTCAAACCAGAAGGCCAGAGGATGGGGTCAGCTTCCTGCTGAGGCTGCCTTGGGGTCAAGTTTAATCTTACTGCAATTGGGTGGAGAGACCTTTGGTGGGCAAAGTCTGTGGGGGAGTGAATTTAGAGGTCCAGGCAGAGAACAAGGATAACATGGGCTACATGGGGTATGTGTCTGGTACACAGCGGGCACTGCCTGGCCCCCACCATTCTATGGGCAAACAGACAGTATGATAGTTGAGGAAAGGGGGTATTGTCAGATAAAATTCAGCATGTCCAATTAACTTCAAGTTCAGATTGGCCGCAGTATGTTGTCTTAGTATGTCTCATGCAATATTGGGACATAATTAGACTAAAAATTGTTTACCTGACGTTTTAATTTATATGGGCATTGTGAGCTTTTATTTGCCAAATCTGGCAAAGTTGTTGCAGCAGGAGGTCTTATTTGCTGAACCTGCCTGCCAAGGCCCACTCACCGGAGAAGAACTGGCTGATAGAGGTGGGCAGGAGCGTGAGGAAGGCCAGAGGGTGGGCGAAGGAGACTGAGAGGACAGCGGAGATGTAGGCCACACCGGCCACTGTGGAGTAGAGGCAGGCAAGGGAGGTGTAGAGACAGAAGAGGACGAAGTTGCGCATGTTCCTGCTGCCGATGCAGTTGCCCGTGAAGAAGCAATGGTGGTCGTGCCTCAGTGTGACTCGGGCACACACTCGGCAGAAGTGGGTGCTGGGCGGGGGGCACAGAGCCCTCCTGGTCGATGACCCCTGGCAGGCCCCCAGGTCATCCGGGGAATTTTGGATGACCAGGACATAATTACCCAGAGCGTTGGCAGAGAGAAACAGGAAGAGCGCCCCATGCAGCAGGGCTGGCGACAAGAGAGGGGTGGCTGCAGGGTCCTCACGCATGCTGGGCAGAAAGAGGAAGAGCTGCAGCACAAAGGTGACCAAGGAGATGCACAGGAAGTAGGCGGGGGCCACCACGTTGAGCAGCCTCAGGGCCAGCATCCTCGATTACATTCCTAAGGGACGCTGGGGAGAGGGAGATTTACGTTACCGCGGCGGCCAGAGGGCGTCCTCGTGAGTACCCCTCCCCCGACCAAGGCGGGTGGTGGAGGCTGCTCTCAAATCTATACCCCCACCCCGTGTCCCTCAGGTCACCTCAACTACTTCCCTAATCCTGGCCGAGCTGGAAAGAACCCTGAGGCCGCTCTGAACTCCTGGGACCAGGCCCTACACAGGGAGGCTGCTCCCTCCGATTTGGAGCGACCACCGCGTCCCGGAGTTTGGGAATCAGGTGCTCGGAGAGAGAGGTTTATTCGTGTTCTTCAGGGCCTGGGGGTTGCTGAAAGATAGGGTCGCACTTCTGATGGCAGTGAAATGAGCTCTGGCTTGAGATTTCTGCTTCAGATTGCCCTAGGAGAGAAAGCGAAGCCCTTGGGATGGGGATAGGGCCGTCTGAACTGGAAGACCTCCTTCATCTCCCCGTTCTCCGCCCCCTAGCGGTCGTCTCGAGCAATTTCGGTCACCTTATCCGTTTGTTCCTCGGGCTGTTGGGAGGGTTATGTGGGAATGGGCCCTTGGGTATTTGTGTGTTTCTTTGTGTGTGACGGTAAGTGTAATTTTTGCGCGCCTGGGTATCTGTGTTTGTGTATGTGCGTGACTGTATGTACACACACGCAGCCACTGCCACCTGGCTTTATTTTAAAAGATCAATTAAGATAATCAATACGTTCCCAGGCGCGGAAGCACCAACCAGGTGGGGAGGGGGCACAGGAGGAAGGCCTGTGTCGCGAGTCCTGCTCAGCCTGTCTCTCTGACGCTGGCTGCTCTGGCTGCGTCTTTGCAAACAGCATTTTCCCTTGAGGTGATGAAATTAAAATCCACCCTGCATGCTTGGCTCTCGCCCTCCTGGCGGGAGAAACCCAAACAATCCCCATGGCGCCGAAACCCTTTCGGTGCCGGCAGGCTCGGGCTGGGAGAACAAGGGGGTGCTCAGCCAGCGCTTCCAGGGACCCGCCCTACGCGCCCCAGCCAGATCAGCCCCCCACTCCCATACTCCGCCCCCGTCCCCCACAGCCCAACTTAAGAAGCCACCCGGCAGAGGATTCGGTGCACCAGAAGAACTTTCCGGGGGCTGAGGAATAGGACAGGCGGAGGCGCCAGAAAAGTTTGAGAAGGCTGCACCCAGGAGGGCCCGGTCCAGGATGTCCCGTTCGGACTGAGGGGCTGGTCACCTTGGAACCCTCTTTGCAGGTGACAGTCTCCCCCCAGCCCGGACCCGCTGCCTAGTAGGGGAACACAGGCCGCTGCCTGCAGCTGGGGTGCAGCGCAGGGTGCGCCGGAGGGTGGTCGCCGGAAGCGCGGTCCCGCCGGGGGCTCGGTCTGCCTTGGCCGTGCGCGCAGGGAAGCTGCGGTGGCGCTGCCCACCCCGAGAGCCCTGGGTCCCGGGCTCCAGCAAAGCAAGTGTCTTCCCCGCGCCAGTCGCCAGGGGGGCGCGGGAGCAGCCTCCAGATGCGCCGCGGCTTGGGAAGGAGAAGGACAGGGGCTGAGGGAGTGAGGGGCGCTCGGAGGGCGGCGGCTGGCCAGGTCCGACCGCGAGGGGGGCGGCGGACAGCACCTCGGCAGCAGCGACGCTAAGGGTTGCGGGAAGCTGTCCGTGCTGGGAGGTCGCACAGTGGAGCGGGCCAGGCAGGCAGCGCGCGGCCGCCGGCGAGTCGGCCACCGCCTCCCAGGCCCGGGAAGCCGCCCCCTCCCCTCGCCGCCCGCCGCGGAGGGCTGGGGACACGAACTCACCGAGCTCCGGTCGCCGAGAAGAGGAGCCCTGGACACCGGCTCTCGCCCGCCCCGCGGCTGCAAAGTTGTGGGATCGGCCCGGCTTGGCTCGCTGTCGCCTCACGCTTCAGGGACTGGGCAGGTAGCGGGGTGTGGGGAGGAGGGAGAGGGCCGCTGCCGTCCTCCCACTTGGGCGCCAGTGAGTGGGGCCCAGGAGGCAGTGGGGATGGCAGCTGTCCCCCCACCCCTCCCTCCGCTCCTGGGGGCGGTGCTCTGGCCACCGGCTCATCACTGTGGACTTGCCCCCCACCCCTCCCGCCTTCTCGGCTCCCCTCGTGCGGTTGGGGCGCCCTGTCTGACTTCAGCGTAGGTTCCAGCTGAGAGATGGGAATTGGCCCCTGATCCAGCCATCAACCTGTCCTTCCCTCCGTCTTCCTTGGCGGTGACCAATAACCTTCCTTGCTGCCAGCTTGGACCAAGGAAACCTGGGCTTTGGTGGCTCAGTTTACCTGCGAACACGCTGAAGACCAGCGTCATCTACTCAGCAGGGCTGTGTACCCAGGAGCTGAGGGAGGACGGCAGCCTTCTGCCTGGGCTTGGATGTGCAGTATCCGCCCCTTGTCCTCCTGGATTCCAGTGTCCTCGGTAGAATAGAGTCGTGGGGATTAAATGGCAATAAACATAAAGCTCTTAAATAGAGCCTGCCCAGGATGAGCATGATTTGAGGCTTAGGTGGCAATTACTCTATTGACATTACATATCAGGCTCTCTGTGCGCCAGGCACAGTGCTAAGCTTCTGGCATACAGTCACTTCATTATGCCCAGCAGCACGAACTGAGAAGCCTAAGGAGCCTCATTCTAGGGATGGAAAGGTGAGGACGCAGCGAAAGTAAGTCGCCTGTCCAAGGTCATACAGCAGGTGAGTGACAGAGCTGGGATGCCCACCTGGTGTTAGCATTAACACTCCCGTTCGCAGCCTCTACCCAAACCAGCCACACCCTGGACACGCGCAGCTGTGATCTCTAGAGGACCTGGGGGGGGGGTACAGCCAAACACAGAGCCTGAATCTGGAGCTTCCGCTTGGAGCCTAGTTCTCTGTTCCTCCTTCTGTCACTTTCCCAGATACTGTGAGAAGGTAGCAACATCAGTGTGTCAGGAGGAGGGGTGGCAGAGGAAGCCTGGCAACACTGAACACCGCACAGCCCCTGGGGGCCTCACAGCCTCAGTTTCCATAGCTCCCTTAACTGCCCTGCTCCATTCTGGGTGAAGGCGAGTGTAATATGTAAATAATTGTTTACCACTTTCTCAAGTGGTTGATTAAAACAAGAGCAGTCCCCAATCCCTTGAAGTGAGGGCCATATGCCAATCGGCTCAGCCTCTATTTTTGAATCATCAGCCGCTGTTTTTTCCTGTATTTTATGAGTGTGCATAAAACAGGGGCCAGGAAACCTTTTCACATTCTGAAGGCTTTCACAAGCAAGCAGAATGGTCTGCCAGGGGGTGGCCTCTGAAGACCTGGTAGCTGTGTGAGTTCCTGTGGTTCCAGGACAGACACAAGAAAGCCCAAGTGGACTTTGCCCCTTCAGAGCAGCTCCCGTCGCGGGCACAGCTGTCTGGTTCCCTTCACAGCTCTGCCTGCCTCTCCCACTGGCTTGGGAGGGCTCTGTTCGGGCCATATTGATTGAAGATCTCCATTCCTTAAATACCTTGAGAGTCGGATGGTATTTCTAATTTTATTTTGCATATGGGTGTGTGGTGGGAAGGTGTGCATGCGTGTGTGTGTGTGTGTGTGTGTGTGTGTGTGTGTGTGTAAGAAAGAGAGAAGCTAAGTGAATGTGGGAAGATGTCAGTGGGGGAAGGGAATAGTCAACAGAAGAGAGGAGATCTGGCCCTGCAGACACAAATGCAAGAGGACAATTACTTATCTAGAAACATGAACAGAAAAGGGCCTGAAAGGTGCAGGTCCACAGCTCATGGCTCTTTATCCCCCCTTAAGGAATGGAGTAAGAGGAAGCCCAAATCAATGTTGTGTTTTTTCTAAATTTGGTGCTTATCTCTGACAAAATCAATAAGGAGGTCAGTCTGAGATGTCACTGTGATGTGGCCCTATCGGAGCCATGCAGACAGACCATTTACCAGCTGTGTGAACTTGAGGGAGTCATTTTCTCTGTTGTCTGTATTTTTCTCCATAAAATGGGATACGGTGGTATTGCTTTGTAGAGATGGTAATGAAGTGAGATGATTAACTGAAGTTCCTTGGCCCAGCAGGAGATTGGGTAGTGTTTGTTTTTCCTCCTCCTGTCTCTCCTCTGAGTTCTTGTCTTTATCCATAGGACTGTCTCCTCTTTCTGACTAAACTGAGAGCTTCTGGTCTATCTTGGAAATATTTTAGGCTCTTCTTTGATTTGCCCTGAGTAGGCGTGTATTGATTAATGGATCCATTTTAGTCTCTCTCTGAAAGGAAAGACTCTACCCCGAGGTCTTTGAAATGTCTGGTGAGACAAATTTGCCATTGATCATGCCTCCTGCCACCACCCACCCTCACTATCATCTCATTCTCCATAAGCAGTGTCAGAAAATAATTTACAAGCCACATTCTTCATTGGTCCTGTCATATAGTCTTGTAGGTAAGCTGTGACTGTACCTCCCAAGAAGGCTCAGGCCCAGATACACACTGACTGCTGCTAGGCACTTTCCTGGGGATGTGTGCCATAAAACTTGCTCTTTAGTGGTGTTATTTGAATAAAATAAATTCCTCTTCCATGTGGCAATCATTCTATCTTACTACAAAAGATTGTATGCAAAGAAAGGAATTCCACGGAGCAAGCAGCTTCTCTCTTAGGTGAGGGGCTCCCCACCCTGCCACTCCCCAGTTGTTTGAATGGATAATGTTCTGAGCTGCAGTGAAGAAGGCCAGGTGGGGTGTTTGTTTTCCATGTTCTGGCTTCAGATAAGATGGGGTGAATACAGGCTAGGGGCTCAGGGTCAACTGCTGCTCTGAAACTAAGGTCCTAAGCGACACCCTCTGATGATGTGCTGTCTACTGCCGAGAGCAAATCATAGCTGGGGGAGTGGGGGGGGACGGACCACAAAGTACCCTTCAAGCCTCAGAAGGCCTCAGACTCCATCCCTGCCTGCCCAGAGTTGGAAAATATGTAAGTATAATCTTCATTTTAGCCACCCACATGCAAGACAGCTATATTATCACAGAATTTCTGTTTGGGGGTGGCAATTTACTTTGCCTGCTCTGGCTTCATATTAACAGCAATTACATTATTCTAATGCAATAAAGTGCTTTGCAGGTTACACGGCACTACCACAAAATTAAAATTTCATTCCATGAGTCTCTCAGTAGCTCTGTAAGCCGGCTGGAACAAGAAGTATTAAACCCATTTTTCTTACGAGGAAGCTTAAGTTTTAGGCTGGGGACATAGCTCAGCGGCACAGCCCCTTGGCAAGCGCAAGGTCCTGAGTTTGATTTCTGACACCAAAAATAAAAACAACAACCGAAACTAGGTTTCAGAGGTTTGCTCATGTTAATTTGCAAGCCTTGCCTGCATCTCATTTAGATGCTGCTTTAAGGTGCAAAGACTTCATTGACAGTTAACTTTTTCTGGACATGATGTTTGCATAAGGAAACAGGTATACTTCCCTAGTGTAAAACACCTGGGTGATCTCCCTTTCTCTAAAACCCCTCTATTCTTTACCCTGTGTTCCACCCTCTCTGCATTGTCTCCAACATCACTTATTACCTTCAGACATAGTATATGTTTATCTGGTACATAGTAAGTGCTCAATGAACATTGTTGGAATGAATGAATATAGAGGGATAATAAAACATGTAAATCCCTACGCCATATTGATCAAATTCCCTCAAGTAGTTCTTTGCTGTCTGTGCTGCTGAACAGGGTGTGTGTGATTGCAGAGAAAGATGCTCAGCATGTAGGCCCACATGTCAAGGTAGGAACAGCAGGTTAGAAATCTTGGTTAGTTTGTATATGTGCTGTCAAAGCGAGCACAATCTTGGTTAGTTTAGAAGGGCCCCCTTTGCAGTGCTTGGGCTGGGGACAAATGAATGCAATCTTTCTCTGGCTAGTTGCGGCTTCCAGGGACCACTTAGGCAGCCCCGGTAGGGATGCTGATGTCCACGGACCTGCATGCAGCTTGGTGTGGTGGTGGCTGCGAGATTAATTGGTCCTTTCATGGTAGGAGCATGTAGGATGGTGGGGGGAAGAGGCGGGTGCATGGAGGAGGCAAGGAGGGAGGTAGAAGGCACAGGGGAGAGGAAGGAAGAGGGAGAGAAAGGGGGATGGTGAGAGAGGGCACTTGGCTGTGCACGCAGCCCACGTCTGTCTTCTTGACGCAGGGACCTCAGGAGGTTCAGGGGCATCAGCTGTCTCTGCGGAGAGCCTGGCAGTGCCAGGTGTCCAGGATGGCGGGGAATGAAGCAGGTTGACATCTCCATTAGAGGAAGGCAGGGAGACCAGGGTGGTGAGCTTACCATAGTGCCCAGGCTGTGTGAAGGCATTAGGGTATGTTGTGGTGGTCACAGAGCGGCAGACCACACAGACCTGACACCCCAGCCCCCTAGGCCCTTCCACCTCACCCAGCAGAGATGGCCCTGGGACCCAGGAGAGAGGGAAGCTGGTGCGGGGCAGAAAGCCTGAGCTTTCTGGTGGCTGCTGACTTGGGCTTCCATCTCTGACCCATTCACTGGCTGTGTAATACTGAGCAAGTTCCTTATCCTTTCTGGGCCTCAGATTCCCTCTCCATTAAATTTTTACCAGCTTGCAGAATTCATTCCTGAGTTTTTGTTTGCAAAGATGTCACCTTGATAGCACCTGCCCTTTCCACCTGTCATAACCCCCAGTTGTCACTGCCGCAGAGTCCTGCCTGCTGGCCAGCACTGGGCAGTCGAGGTAGTCTCACCTGAATGCTTGTTGACCCAACCATTGCCTCTTCCCCTGTGCGTTCCCAAGGGTAGGGATTTACCTGGCAGCCTCTTTTCGGTAGCCTACACACAGCATAGAGTCTGGCCCCACTAAATATTTGAGTCAATAAATTATAAATCAATACAATTATAAACAAATAATAAATTCTACCTTAATACCTGACCTTTAAAAAGCAGGCTTGGAAAGCAACGAATAAACAGAATTTAGGAAAAGATCTCTTCCCCTGGATCTTGTGATGTCCAGGCACGGGTGG